ATATATATATATATATTAGTGTTGAGTGTGAACAAATTGGAGCCAGAATGGTTATGATATGTTTTAGAGCCCATTTCATCCAGCACCAGGTGTTGTTTTATTGAACTGTATTTGGCTGGTCATTCGATAGAGTCAAAGGGATTTGCTGAGACTGTAAATAATTTTTCCATGTCATCCGCTGCCTGCGGCCACATAAAGGTACGCAGAGAAACTGCTCGTCGAAGGTGGCTCCAAAGGCTGAAGGACTTTAGTTAGTTAGACTGAAGTCCAATGATGGACTCGTGTTTGTGCTGCACTCAGAGCTGCTGAAAGACCTACTAATGTGCTAGTTTCATTTGGCATTGGGGCCTTTTTGACACAACTTGTCGGCTCTTCTCCAAAGCAAACTTGATATTGAATCTCACACCGGGCCACACATCTGGCCTGTGTTAGACAGATGTGATAAAGTCGAGTCGAATACAAATCCCGCTAGCATTATCAGCCCCATTAAAGGGATAATCGCTGTGTTCTAGCAGTTTGCTGATGATGCACCATATCCATCGTTCTGTTGATGTGACACCACTAGATTTTTTTTTTTTTTTTTTTTTCCTTTTTCTTCTTTAATCTAAGGACAATGTGACCTCGATTATGGTCACTTGCTGACAATGTAAAAGCAATAGAAGAGCCCTTTTAAGGAGGCAGGGATGACAGGGACTCATGGCTGAGTCTGTTTAGGCTCTGTTGCGAGATAATGTGCGATACTGTAAATGTTCTTTATCAGAAAATGCTATTACAGATAGTGGACTGTGGCAAGAATTATGGATGGCTCCATACTGTAGAAAAGAGATTATAATATGTATATGTATAATGTGGGGAGATGGCTCTTTCTGTCACTGCTTTCATAGTTTGATTATGCAATGGTTTCCTTCTGTGTCAAGGTGAGAGGAAGTCTGGCTGAACTGCTAAAAGCAGTAACTTTACCTCACACAGAAACAGTATTTAAAGGGTTGAAACATGCTGTAGATAGATGGCACAAAGACTGAGGGATAAATAGTCATGACAGCTGCAGCATCTGCTTCAATAACTGCATAATCTTACAGTTAAACAAGTGCATGTTCAGTAATTGTCAGCACTCGTCTTCTCCGTAGTTGTCTCAGTTAGGCCGGCAAAGGTGTTGGGAAGTGGTGTAATATAAATTAACCATGCTGTCATGTTTCAATAGCCAACTAACAATTACTAAAGCATTACACAAGTATAACTTGGTTTATTTTCTCATCATGTTTTAAACTTACTGTTTTATCTAGAGAGATGGTGGCTACTAGGATATTTTGCTGGTCGTTTTTTTTTGTTTGTTTGTTGTTTTTTTGTTTTCTTTTTGTGTTTGTTTTTGTATTCATCAGTGATGTTTGCATATCTGATGCGTGGGACATTTCGGGACTCAAGCGGAAGTTGCTTTCTAGTTAATCCTGTGATCCAGGTCTGAACTGAGCCGCTCTCCTCCAAAGCTGCACAACAAGAAGCAAAGTCCATAATGTGATTACGAGGATAATGGCGTTCAGCGGTTAAGCAGCCAACATCCAAACTAAACT